ATAGGATACTATCCACAAAAACATAATGGTCTTAAAACAGTGTTGCAATGATTCACACATACTGAGTAGCGTTGGCTCTCGTCTTGAGTTTTCTGGAGGTGGGTAGAATTAAAGGGCTGGATATGTTCCAAAATGGATTGCATGATCTTCTCCCAGTTCAGAATCAGTGAGGCTTGCTTATTAATTCATTGTTGGGACTCTGCAGCAAATATTTTCTCTCCCCATCTGTTTGTCCCTTGTTTCATCATTCCTAGCTTGACGTAATCTACGGTTTAGTGAGGCATGCAGGAAGGACCTCCGCTTGACACAAGCTTCATGAAACAAATAGCTGTGGTGCTAAATTGCCTTGGGTAATTAATTAATCCTACTGTAAATGAAAGTACTGATGCACATCTGTATGGATCCATAAGATGCCAACTCAGGAGCTGAATCAATTTCCCCAGTCAGCCCCTCAGTGAATTGCAGGGCTGTCAGTTCACCAACAGGAGAAACAAAACAAAAAACCCTTTTCCGTTGAACTCAAAGAGAGACGAGTGCAGCACCGGGCAATTTGAAACAGAGTGCACTCATTGTAGAGTTCCTAGAGAACGCTTCATCTAATATGGTTGAAATGTAATACGAGTTGCATGGTGAGAATTTGACATCTACATTTGCCATCTCAGCCATTTGACATCCATAGGGTAGAGGAACAGCAGTTAGGAAATTCTTCACTGTGGAATGTTCTTCCAAGCAAAGGAAATGATCTTTTCGCCAGATCATGAGAAATGACCACTGAATTTGCCAATGTGTGTTTAGTGTTGTCGTATTATTTATATTTAATAAATAACGGTGGAGTACAGGGTCAGATTTAAGGTGCTGCTTTTGACCTTTAAAGCCCTTCACGGCCTAGGACCCTCGTACCTATGAGACTGCCTCTCCTGGTATGCCCCATGGAGAGCCTCAAGGTCCATAAAGAGCAACACCCTAGTGGTCCCGGGCCCTAAGGAAGTTAGATTGGCTTCAACCAGAGCCAGGGCCTTTTCAACTCTGGCTCCGGCCTGGTGGAACGCTCTGCCTCATGAGACCAGGGCTCTGCAGGATCTGATTTCTTTCCGCAGGGCCTGTAAGACAGAGTTGTTCCACCTGGCCTTTGGCTTGGAGCCAGTTTGATTCCCTCCCTCTCTTTCTTTTTTCTTTTCCTTCTCCTCCTGCGATGAGGCTACATTCTAATATTTTAATGTCTCAATATTTTAATGTTGTATTTTAATTTTGTTTTTAAGTTGTAATCATTCAACTTGTTTTTATTGTTGCTTGTAAGCCGCTCTGAGCCCGGCCTTGGTTGGGGAGGGCGGGGTATACCGTATTTTGCGCCCCATAGGACGCACCGGCCCATAGGACGCACCTAGTTTTTTGGGGCGAAAATAAAGGGGGAAAAATTTATTTCCCCCCCCCCCCGGTGCGGGGCTGGAAGAACCAGGTTGGGGAACAGCAGGAAGGCGTGCTCCGCCTCCCCGCTGTCCCCCGAGCTTGTGGGGCTAGCGATGGGGAGAAGTGCGCTGAGCCCGGGACTGCAGGCGGGACTTTGCACCCGGCTCCCGATGGCCGTGCAGAGCTGCGCTGAGCCCGGGAGTGTAGGCAGCTCTGCGCGGCCATCGGGAGCCGGGCGGGACTTCGCGCCCGGCTCCCGATGGCCGTGCAGAGCTGCGCTGAGCCCGGGACTGGAGGCAGCTCTGTGCGGCCATCAGCAGCTGGGCGGGACTTCGCGCCTGGCTCCCAATGGCCGCGCAGAGCTGCGCTGAGCCCGGGACTGTAGGCAGCTCTGCGCGGCCATCGGAGCCGGTCTCCTGAGGGTTGCGCAGAGCTTCCTGAAGCCTGGAGAGTGAGAGGGGTCGGTGCACCCATAGGACGCACACACATTTCCCCTTCATTTTTGGAGGGGAAAAAGTGCGTCCTATAGGGCGAAAAATACGGTAAATAAAAATTATTATAATTATTATTGTTATTATTTTTTATTATTGGACTCCAGAGGGTTCTCCACTCAAGCATGAGGAACTGCCTTCATCTCCTTCTGCCTCGCTGCCCTCTGCAACTGAAACAATTCCTTTCAAAACACCTGCCGGTGCTGCAGCCTCTCTCCTTCAGATCCCTCTGCCAAACCCACCTTTCTCCCTTAGTAGATAAGAGGGCATTGCTAATGGGATTAGGTCCTACCCTCTGACCTTTAAAGATAGGGATGTAAAAGCTGCTTGCTGAAGGACATCAGCCACGCACAAATTCACACACCGTCTTCCTGCCTGAGACAGGGAGGCAAAGTTTTATTGGCACCCTTCAGGGCTTCACCCCTCCCCAAAAGGTGGCAGAAGAAATAAAAATTTAAAAGAGATCATTAAGATGAATAGAAGACAGGGAGCCCCAATCCTAAATGCTTGCTTTTGGTTTGTCCCTGTCCTGCTGTTCTTTCCTCTATAAAGCAGTACAGTCAAACCTTGGTTGTTGAACGCAATCCGTTCCGGAAGCACATTTGGCTTCCGAAATGTTCGACAACCAAGCGCGGCTTCCGATTGGTTGCAGGAGCTTCCTGCACTTGAGTGGAAGCTGCGTCAGATGTTCGGCTTCCGGAAAATGTTCAAAAACCGGAGCATTTCCTTCTGGGTTTTCGGCATTCAGGAGCCGAAACATTCCAAAACAGAGGCATTCGGGATCCGAGGTTTGACTGTACTTCGTTAGCTGTTTCTCTGGTCTATTATGACATAGAGGAGCTCTTCAGTGGGCAGCAAGGCATCCACCTTTGCTTCACCTGTTCCTTAGGGAAAGGAAGCATTTCTCATGGTCAGCACGACCCCTGGTGATACGCCTTCCTTTGAGTGTAGCAATGAGGTCCACATGAAAGCAACTCTCCCAAACACTGAGGATGTGGGAGATGCATGGAGCAATCATGCCTATTCCTCCTTCTGTCAAAGCCCTAGGTGTTCATTTTGTGCTTGGGTATTTGACATAAGAGACTCTTCTTCCCTGGGACGTACTCGTTTTACATATTCCAATTAAGAATGTTGTCCTCTCTGCAAGGGGAGAATTGAACTACCCTTCATCCTTCCTTGCAGTAACTTGAATCATAAATCTGAATAATGGCTGGGCAACCTTTATCCGGTCTAGGGCAGGGTTCCCCAAACTTGGGTCTCTGTTGGACTACAACTCCCATCATCCCTAGTTAGCAGGACCAGTAGTCAGGGATAATGAGAACTGTAGTCCAAAAACAGCTGGAGACCCAAGTTTGAGAAACCCTGGTCTAGGCAACATTTTGCTCAGGGGCAATTTGCCCTGGCTTCATGCAGTGGGTGGAGCCAGGGCTCAGTGTGGGGAGGGCCCTTTTCCCCCCTCCTTCTTTGCCTTTTCTTCCCTGCCCAGAGGACTACTGGGGAAGGGGCTTATTGCTGCTGACCTGAGCATGTGGAGACGACTTTTGAAATAGGACAAGGACTACAGGTTACCCACCCCTGCTGTAAATAAATGTAACAACAGAATAGCTATACTTAGGAGACTGGTTTCTGTTGTCCTCGCTGTATTATGTAATTCTCCGGTTTATATAGTTGTGTTTTTAAGCGGCAGTGTCTATAGATCCCTTAGTCCTCCTCCCTAGATCCAGTTGAGATTCCTGCATAGCAGGGGGATGGACTGGATCACCCTTCGGGATCCCTTCCAATTCTACAGTTCTATGATTCCGTGATCCCCAAACAAAATCAAGCCTGAGTCCACTTAACTTCGCTTGTCTGTTTACTCCGTCACCTTTACCTCTCCTTCCCTATTGGGATTTAGATAGAAAGATGCTTGGAGCATTAGCCTGTCTTTTGGTACGCTACTTCATCAAAGGCCATGTCTGGCAGTGGCACAATATAAATAATGATAGAGGGAGAATTGGGTTGGCACTTCTCTAACTCTGTCTCCACGCAATTAATTAACTCTGCAGCATGGCATGACAAGGGAGCACTGGCAGTAGAACTCTGTATTGTTACTATTTATTAGCTTTCTTCCCCACCCTTCAGCATTGTGTCCCGGGGCAGGTGGCGGCAATGTGAAAATGCAATATTAAATTCAGTTAAAATGATTTATCATCAGAGGAGTAGGGTGGGTCCTAAGGGACTTCCAAGCGGCAGCTCTTCAATGTCCTGAAGAGCATTTTGCCCCTTTCCATGCGTAGCCGAAACAGAATAAACTATGCAGATGTGATTGTTTTTGCATAATTCACATAGCTTGTGTAAATCAGGCTTCTTGGTACAGGATCTGGACTATTTATTTAATATGAAGTATACAAAGCTTCTTGCACAGTGCTTCATTTTGTGTATATATACAAGCAAAGGCTGGTGGGGTGAGTGGCAGGTGCTGTCTGGCATGTATACTCAAGTATACTGTGGTACCTCGGTTTTTGAGTGTCTCAGAAGCTGAACATTTCGGTTTTCAAATGCCAAAAATCCAGAAGTACAGTGGTACCTTGGTTCTTGAACTTAATCCGTTTTAGGAGTCTGTTTGACTCCCAAAACCATTCGAAAAGCAAGGCGTGGCTTTCGATTGACTGCAGGAGCTTTCTGCACTCAAGCAGAAGCCGCGTTGGACATTCAGCTTCCGAAAAACATTTGCAAACCGGAACACTTATTTCCAGGTTTGCGCTGTTCGGGAGCTGATTTGTTCAACAACTAAGCCGTTCGAGAACCAAGGTACCACGGTAATTGCTTCCGTTTTTAAACGTGCCTCAGAAGTCGAACGGCTTCTGCTGTGGGGTTTTTTTAATTTTCTCCACTGACTTTGCAGCCCAGCCCTTTGCACCTCGGTTGTCGAACATTTTGGAAGTCAAACGGTCTTCCAGAACGGATTACGTTCGACAACCAAGGTACCACTGTATTGTGAAAGGCATGCTCCATTTGCACTATTACCGTATTTTTTGCTCTATAAGACTCACTTTTTCCCTCCTAAAAAATAAGGGGAAATGTGTGTGCATCTTATGGAGCAAATGCAGGCTGCGCAGCTATCCCAGAAGCCAGAACTGCAAGAGGGATTGCTGCTTTCACTTCACAGCGATCCCTCTTGCTGTTCTGGCTTCTGAGATTCAGAATATTTTTTTCTTGTTTTCCTCCTCCAAAAACTAGGTGCGTCTTGTGGTCTGGTGCGTCTTATAGAGCGAAAAATACATGAAATATTGAGTAGGAAGAAGGAAACTACTCATACCCCCCCCCCATTTCTATTGTCCTAACTTTTTTGCGGGGGCTTCTATAGGTTTGGAGGGGCACACTGGCTCGCCTGCGCTACAAGAGAACCCGAGCTGCCCTCAAGATCATAAAGTGCTACCGCCGATACAAAGTGAAGTCGTATATCTGCGAGGTTGCCCGGCGATTTCACAACGTGAAGTCTATGAAAGGCTACGGCAAGCATGTGAGATGGCCCACCCCACCCAAAGTGCTGAGGCGGTTTGAAGAGGCTCTGCAGGCAATCTATCACAGGTAGGAATTGAAGGCAGTTTGTTTCTTGGGCTACGGAGCAGGAACATTACCTGATACTGCCAGGTACAGTGTAACCTCGAAAGCCAAACGCCTTGCAACCCGAATGGTTTGGCTTCTGAACGATCAAAAACCGGAAGCGATTGTTCCATTTTTCGAAGGTTTTTTGGAAGCTGAATGTCCGGCGCGGCTTCCAGTTGGCTGCAGGAAGCTCCAATTGGAAGCCGTGCCTTGATTTTCGAACGGTTCTGGGAGCCGAACGCATTCTGTTCGAAAACCAAGGTACAACTGTATTGTATTTGAGAAAGTTGCAAGCACCATTTAAGGATGTGGCAGCCACAGAACAAAGCCAGCCTGTGTTTATTTTTAGTTATGCCTATCATTTGGCGAGTGGGAAATGCAGAATTGTTTGTATGAAAATGCTGATAACTATTTAATTGGGCAACTGTATATTCCAATCCCTGTGCTAGTCTGATGTGCAATTGTTTGTTCGGTTTGTTCCAGGTGGAGGGCGCACGAACTCATCAAGAGCATTCCCCCCAAGGATGTGCCTCAGATCAGGGCAAAGGTGGCAGCAGTGGAAGTGCTGAAGGGCCACCGAAGTGATATGGGGATCCAAAGAGCCTGGCAGGGCAACTACATTGCATTGGTAAGTATAGTAGAACACACAAAATGTCAGTCATTGCATTCTGTGATACCACAAAGATAAAAAGTAAATAACCAAGGCCCGTGCTATCAATTGTTTACTTCTTGCAGAAGTAGCCTTTTCCTCTTAAATTCGAATCCTTGTCCCTCTTCCCCTAATTCAAGACCTAATTGATTTTTTCTTAGTCAATGAACAACAAAAAAACTATTACAGAACTCTGTCAAATCTCACCCTGCAAACCAGTCCACCATGTCCAATCTTTAAAGAAAGTGAAGTACCGTATTTTTTGCTCTATAACTCACTTTTTCCCTTCTAAAAAGTATGGGTAAATGTGTGGCTAATTCGACAAACCAACTACCGTATTTTTTGCTCTATAAGACTCACTTTTTCCCTCCTAAAAAGTAAGGGGAAATGTGTGTGTGTCTTATGGAGCGAATGCATGCTGCGCAGCTATCCCAGAAGCCAGAGCAGCAAGAGGGACCGCTGCTTTCACTGCACAGCGATCCCTCTTGTTGTTCTGGCTTCTGAGATTCAGAATATTTTTTTTCTTGTTTTCCTCCTCCAAAAACTAGTGTCTCATAGAGCGAAAAATACAGTATATTAAAAACAAAGTAGGCAATCTAGCTGTATACAATTCTGCAGAATTTATTCTAGTGTGAAAATTGGAAGTGTTTGCAAGTGGAAGGTGTGGTTATTTTAAACACGTGGTTCTAGGACGATTTCCTGTATTGGTTGCCGGTAGACACCAAAGCATCCTTTGAAATGTGTAGGTGTTTTTCTCAACTATGGTTATAACTAGAAGAAGGGCTTTCACTTCTCAGTCAGAGGATGGGATAGATGAATGAGCCCCAAATGAAGTTAAACTTCTGTTCAGAATACCCTTGTAAAATATGCTACCAAAGGCGGAATTAAACTGATAGGAAAATAAGCCTTGTTGAGGAAGATACGGTGTATGTAGAATGAAGTTCTGTCCCAACACACCTTTGAAATAATTCAGCATCATGCATGTAGATGGGGTGATCCCACAAAAACTTGTAATACATCCTTTATTCTTTAACGTTTGTTACCTCACCAAAAGTTATTAGTTGTGCAGTTGTGAAATAAAAATGGATAGCTCCTCTGGTAATTGGTTAAGCAACAGGAAGCAGAGAATATGAGTAAATGAGCAGTTCTTGCAACGGGAGGTAGAAAACAGTGAGGTCTAAGGATCCATGCTTACATAACTTGTTAATAAATGTATGGGGAAATGGGCATTCACATTAGGTCAGATATACAGAAGCATATAAAGTGGTGCATATTGGAGCAAAAATCCTAGCTTCAAATAATAGCATAACCACCCAACCTCACCCCACTTACCATTCCCGCTCCCCCCTCTTCCCCCCTCTTTTCTTCCTAACAATTTTTTTTTTAAAACTTGATGAATTAAAACAAACAAACAAAACTGTTCTATCCTGTTTGCCCTTTGTTTAAACCAATTCATGAACCAAGAACTTATACATTGACCACTAATAATGAACCATTTGTTGTAGATATCCCTCCACATTTATTATGCTATTTTTGTGACATACAAATGACATGAGAAAGCTTTGTATACTCATTTGTATACTTATTCTTGTTTATAAAACGCAATAAAAAGTTATTCCAAAACAAAAACAGTGGTAACTCGGGTTAAGAACTTAATTCGTTTTGGAGGTCTGTTCTTAACCTGAAACTGTTCTTAACCTGAGCTACCACTTTAGCTAAGGGGGCCTGCTGCTGCTGCGCCACCACCACAGCGCTATTTCTGTTCTCACCCTGAGGTAAAGTTCTTAACCCGAGGTATTATTTCTGAGTTAGCGGAGTCTGTAACCTGAAGCGTCTGTAACCCGAGGTACCACTGTAAATTCTAACTTCATGTACACACTGATGGAATTTGAACTGCTGTCTGATCAAGAAAAAGATCCAGAATCAAAGGAAGTATACTATTAGCTGGGGAGAAATAGTGGGAGAGCGCAGTGCCCTTCCTGGGGGCTTTCCAGGGGCTTCTGTTTGGAAACAAGGATGTTGGATTAGCACAAATGTCCTTCTAGTCTAGAAAGACATTTGTGCTTAGTCCAGTAGTTCTGCTCTTCTGTGTTCTGTGACCATACTTGAAAAGAAGGCCCCATGTATGCATTGGGTTCTGCAAACTATTTTATGGAAAACAAACAGAATGCAGGACAGAACAAACTTGTATGCCTCCTTAGAATGCCCACTCACTCCCATTTTTCAGGGATGTAGAAACCACGGCCAAGCCCTTTCATAAGAAAAGCACCAGATCAGACCGAAGCCTGTTGTCTTGTTCTCTCATTGGCAAGCCTATGGGAAACAAGCAGGGACAGATTGCAACAACGAACACTCTCCCCCCTTGTGATTCCCAAAAGCTGTCATTCAGGAGGACACTTTATTTCAGGCTTCCTCAACCTTGGCCCTCCAGATGTTTTTAGCCTACAACTCCCATGATCCCTAGCTAGCAGGACCAGTGGCCAGGGATGCTGGGAATTGCAGTCTCAAAACATCTAGAGGGCCGAGGTTGAGGAAGCCTGCTTTATTTGCTGCCTTGTTCAGAAAACCTAGGAAATTCAACTCCATAATTAAAAGGCTGGTGGCCATCTCTTACCTGAGCAGTTCTAACATATCCTGCTCTAACATAGTCTCTGTTTAAGAACTGCAACTTTTGGAATCAAGGAGGTGCTGGGCTTGGAATGCTGTCTTTGTGTTGAAAGATAGCAATATCGGTGTTGTTACAAATGTATATTTGAGACTTCTATAGCTGGCTGACCTGGAATGGTAAAGATGCTGCTGCCCTTGCTTTAATGATGAAGACAAATTACCTGCCTGTCTTCCTGTTTGCTCCTTTAGAATCCAGATAACCCTCAGGCTGCAGGCTCATTCGTCCCCATTGCCAATGAGTTGAAACGAAAAGACAAGTTCATGAATGTTCTCTTCTCGTCTCACGTCCGCAAGGTAAGCACAGCAACTGCTGCAGAAGGATGATGAAAGCCTCTGGAAAGTAAGGGGAGGGGAGGGTTTCATCAAGAGGCTTTTGCATTGCTGAAGCTCAGGTAAAGGAATTTTGAAATAGTAAAAAAAAAAAGAAATTATTTCAAAAAGAGGATAGTATTTACAGCTAGGAAAGTGAGAAAACGGTCAGCAAAACAGGTGAGGATTTGGGGAATCAAACTTAAAATTTATTGTAAAGAAGTTCAAAACGGGTTGAACGTGAATAGAATAAAGAAGACCTACATTGGGGCGCTGAATTTGTGTGCATTTTGAGCAGATCTGCTTTTGCAATAGTCCTTCAGCTCTGCTGTGTTAAGCAGATGAGCTCAGGGAGTTACAGGGAGAACTCCTTTGAAATGCAAAGGTCAGATCCATACTAAAAAGCTTCTTCGCAGGCACCTTTGGTCTGGTGCTGGCATCATTTCCTTTGGTTCCTGGGTAACTTGCTTGGGAGAGCTGCTTGACTCCTTGGCCTTTATTCTGCAGAATATGCTTTTAAAACACACTAAACCTGAGAAATCTGGAGTTTCGGGGTGAAACGTCATCAGTAAGGTGATGATGTATAGCTCTACCTCCCCATCTGCTTCAGGTGACATTGCCAAGGTCCTAAATAGATTCTGAATGGGATGGCTAATAACCAGTAAATTGAGGTTCAGTCCAGATAAGACCAAAGTATGGCTGGTTCAGTCCAGATAAGACCAAAGTATGCACTTGAGCAAGGAAATGAGATTCAACCTGTTCTACATGTGTGTGGGGGGGGGGGTTGCCCTCCCTCCCAAAGGATCATGTTCTCATCTTGGAAGTGCTTTTAAATCTGGATGATCAAGTTATCTTTTGTGGCCTCTGGCACTTCGTTCAGCAGCTTTGGCTAATTCAGCAGCTGTGGCCAATCCTGGAAAAAACATAACCTGTACTCGGTTATTCATGCCCTTAAAGAATCTAG